GCTGACCGTGGCTGGTAGATTAACAACCATTCTTGATCACAAATGGAAGGATGATATCACATACTTTGACTTCTCAAAAGCTTTTGATAGGGTCAATTATATACGTTTCATCAATAAGCCCAAACGAATAAGCATAATGTCATCGTTAATTGATTGGCTTACATCAATAATAATATTAATAACATTAATTATCGACAGGGTAAACTTCGCTTTTTCTCAGGTTACGGAACTGCCTGGTGCAGTCCCTCAGTGCTTATTACTAGGACCTATTCCCTTCTTAATTTATATAAATGACCTTCATCACCAAGTAACGTCTGATTTATGGTTTTACGCTGACGATTCGAAACTCTGGAGAGAAGTTTGTAACCAAGACGATAAGCTGGCACTTTGGGAGGATCTAACAAGACTTCAAAGTTTAGCGGAAAACAATAGACTTAGCTTTAACACTTCAAAGCTTAAAGTGGTCCAACTGAGACCTGTTGCAGAGTATGCGTATGACTAAGGTGATTTCGCTTTAAAGGTATCTCAAGTTTTAAAAATCCTGGGAGTCTTCAGACATACTTACCTGTTACTGCTACACCCAGTGGAGCATAGGCCGCCGACCAGCATTCTCATATCCACTCGGTCCTGCGCCTTCGTTTCTAATTCTATCCAATTGTTGTTTAGTCTTTTCATGTCTGTCTCCATTTCTCAGCCTGATGTGTTCCTTGGTTTCCTCTTCTCTTTTGGCCTTGAGGATTCCATGTGAGGGCTTGCCTCGTGACGTACTGGGTTGCTTTCCTCAATGTGTACCCTATCTACTTCCAGCGCATCTTCCTGATTTCTTTCTCCGCTTGAAACGGGATTGTTCTCTTCCACAGTAGGTTGTTGCTGATAATATCTGACCAACAGATCCGAAGCGTTTTGCCTAGACAACTGTTAATAAACACTTGTATCTTCTGCATGATGGCATTCGTAGTTCTCCAGGTTCCCGCCCCATACAGCAGAACTGTCTTGATAATTGTATTGAAAATTCACACTACGGTGTTGTTTGACAGTTGCTTTGAGTTCCAGATGTTCTTCAGTTGTAGAAATCCTGCTCTTGCTTTTCCGATCTACGCCTTCACATTTGCATCAGATCCACCGTGTTCATCAATGATGCTGCCCAGATATGTAAAGGATTTTACATCTTGCAAATCTTTTCCGTCAAGTGTGATTCGACTGTTAAATGCTGTGTTGTATCGGAGAATCTTGCTTTTCCCCTTGTGTATGTTGAGATCTACTGATGATGAGGCTGCTGCTACAATGGTCGTTTTCTCCTGCAGTTGTTGTTGCATGTACAATAGAAGAGTTCGATCATCTGTGAAGTGTAGATCGTCCAGCCTCACCCTACCTGTTCACTCTAACCCGTACTTCCCCCCAGATGTTGACGTCTTCATGATCCAGTCGATCACCAGGAGAAAGAAAAAGGGTGAGAGTAAGGAAAATTGTTTGACACCGGTCTTTACTTCGAACGAGTCTGTGAGCTGTCCTCCATGTGCAATTTGCAATTTAATCCATCATAGGAATTCCGTATGATGTTGACTATCTTTTCAGGCACGTCATAGTGTCGAAGAAGCCTCCATGGTGTTGTTCTGTCCACACTGTCAAATGCTTTTTCGTACTCAATGAAGTTTATGTAGAGTGATGAATTTTTCGTGCCTCTAGGTAACCCTCGTGCTACTGATAGAATTCTTAAGAAACACGACAAGTAGTGAGTAGGCCTTTATTTCGATCTTCGCGCAGTCACAATGGAGCGTGGGGTTATTTATTTAGACAACCAAAGCCTCTCAACATTCAATATAAGATAATAGGAAATATAACGCTTATACAAAATAAGGAAGTGAATAAATACTTGAACTATACTGCTTTGGTATATGCTTGGTTGTTTGAGGTCAACTCTTAACCAACCAACCTAAGCTGTTGCAAATTCTATTCAATTGATTGTTCAACAATGATCAGTAGTGTTACGATTTGATTGGTACACGACCGATCCTTACGGAATCCAGCCTGCTGGTCTCGAAGTTGGGCGTCTCCGAAGTCCTTCAGTCTGTTTACCAATACCTTGATGAAGACTTTTCCCGGTATTGAGAGAAGAGTGATGCCACTGTAGTTATCACAGTTGCTGAGATCGCCTTTCTTCGGTATTTTGATAAGAAGTCCTTCTTCCCAGTCTCTTGGTACTTGTTCTTCATCCCAAATCTTCATTGAAGAGAAAGTGGAGTATCTTTGCAGAGGCTTCTACAACTGCCTTCAACGCCTCTTCCTGAGTGTTGTCCGATCCCTCTACTTTGCCACTTTTGAGTTTTTCGATGGCCATTATAATCTCTTCAATTGTTGGTAGATTAACGTTGATTCGGAGGTCCGTGACTGCCGTTTCCATGTTGGGTGGGTCAAGTGGGGCTGGTTGATTCAAGAGTTCCTTAAAGTTCTCTACACGCCTTTTTGGTTTACGGTAATTTCCGGCGACCTTCGTTGAATCACACAATTGTCCCATGGTCTCTTCGTTTGCAGTCTTTTCCGCCATCATTGCTAGATCCTCTACATTTTTACGTCTGTTGGTTCTGATGCTCCTCTTCATCTGATTGTCTGCCTCTGTATATTCAGCCTGTGTCTTGGCTTTCTCTGCTCTTATTCGGCTGATACTGATTGCTGCATTCTTGTTCCTCCTTTCATAAATCTTATGCATTGTATCAATAGTGATCCATTGCTTGCGATAGTGCTTCTTGTGGCCCAGAGCCTCATGGCATGTAAAATGTGATTACCTCTTTCACCCCTATCGAGTTCTCATTCACGGTAGTTTCATCTCCTCCGAGTAGATCGTGGAAGACCTAGAACCCAATGCTGAGAGCTATCTTGAATTTGCTCGGTTTGTCTGTATCCCGAAGAAAAGGCGTATTAAAAATTACTGATGTTGTCCAGTGCTTCTGGAGTTTCGGTTTCGACTTGTTGACCAGCAAGTGATTATCTGAGGCTATATCAGCTCCTATCCTGGTTTTCACATCCTCATTCGTTCTCCTGAACTTTTTGTCGATGCAGGTATGATTGATTCGGTTCTGTGTAGTGTGATTCGGTGAAAGTCATGTGGCTTTGTGTATGCGTTTATGTGGGCATATGGTGCCACCTATGACCAGTTTACTGAAGGCACATGGGTTTCGTTCCTCTCTCCCAGTTCATGTTGTTCGATGATGTCTTCATGTCCAGTGTTGTCCGTCCGAACCTTGGCATTTCGGTCTCCCATCAGAATGGCCAAGTCCTTTGTTGTGCATTTCTCCACGATGGACTGCAGCCTATCGCAGAACTGATCTTTAACATCTTCATTATAGTCGTTGGTAGGCGCATAGCATTGCATGAAATTCATTGTCTTGAAGGAGGCTTTGATGATCATTGGTCCGTGAGATTCCTATCCTATAAGTACCTTTCGTGCTTGTTTGGATAGCATCAGTGCAACTCCTTGTCTGTGTGGAGCATTCTCTTCTTCATGGTCGGAGTATAAGAGCAGTGCTCCTGAAGTTAGTCTTTGTTGTCCAACCTGCGTCCAATGTGTTTCACTGATTCGAAGCACTTCCAGGTTGTACCTTTTCATTTCCGGTCTCCCACATTGTACGAATATTCCATGGACCTAAGTTAGTGGTTGCTCTGGTTGTTAGAAGGGCCATCAAATTCGTAAGTTGAGAAGGAACTCGTCTTTCACCATGAGGCGTCATAACTCTTCTAAATGAAGACCTTCGAACTCCCAGGGCAGAGTTTAAATGATTTGAATTATTTTTTCTGGTTAGCGTTTTTTTAGCGAGTTAGATTTCTACGTGATTGTGCCGCTAACCTCATGCCCAACTCTTCTTTTTTCCGGCCTTGGGACCGGGAGAAGTCTTAGAGGGACTTTAGGGGGATTTCGGAGATTTATGACTCTATGATCTAGTTTTACGCTAATTTCAACGAAAATTTCTTTCGAGCGGTCCAAGCGATGGTGACGCCGAAAGGTATTTTTGGCTAGTTCAGCAGTAGAACTTTCTATTTAATCTTCGACAGTTTTATTTGATATTAGAGTATGGAAATATCATGTTTCTTCCCTCACTCCAAAAGGGTATGAATACGCTGGGACGTATCGAAAGGCGAACTACGAAATCAGTTCTGATACTCAAATTCAAACCATACGAAGAACGCATCAAGTCGCTGAATATCCACCCAGTAGATCGTAGGTGCCCTAAAGGTGACCTAATGACATGAGCTGAAAGGCGAGAGGGGAAGGAGGTTCAATCGAAAATAATTTAGGTGGTTTTCAGTCACGATGACGATATAATATTACAATGGATGAGAAACAGATCAGAAAAGACTAAAACAGTATCACATTATGTAAACGTTAGAATTCAAATAGGATATCGAATGCCCCAATTAGGAAGAAACTCACAGTCTACGCATTGGTGTACCAGATCATGTCGGGTTCACCCCTGAAGTTGCTGGAAGTATTCGGGGTTTGACAACGCCTTTACCAGTGACAGGTTTATATTGGAAGAATGCCAACCCACTCAGATCAGAAGACAGATATGATGGGGTTCGAACTTATATTTTAGAGGCTACTGGTATGCCGAGAAATGTTTGGTTTAAGCTGGCTAATAGTTGAAAGGGACATGTAGCACGACATATCCATTGGTGACTTGGGGCGGATGCGTGACCGAGAGCTATCAGCTAGGTGAGTCCATTCAAACTAATGAGGTCAGCATCAAATTTCGAAGGCTCACAGAGCTACTGATTTTGGAGATTTATTTACCGCTACCAGTACCAAATTGTATAAGTTCATGAATGATTTAATTTATTTCGTGTTTTTGCTGTTAGGAACATCAACACTTTCTATAGAAGTGAGCTTTGACCGTTGTTATGCAGAGTTATTGTGGTCATAGACATGTGAATTTAGCTCATTCTGCTGATACAAGTGTGAGTTGTTTAAATGACTAGCATTTAAAATGTATTGAGTGAAGCGGTGTGTTTATCTCTGGTTGTTGTAGATTATTATTCTATTCTCATTGAGCCATCGACTCACGCTTTCTCGTATCTTTTCTATTCCAGATTCTTATATGGTGCTGTCCATAATATTCCAACACATAACATACTTCCAAGCTAGACGTAAACTTATCGAAGGCTCAAGGTTTGTTTGGTGCTTATGTCATTGGTTAATGTACATTTAGACTTACTTTATCATTACGGTTTGTTGGTTTCATAATTGTTGTCGTTTAGTTGTAACAGTGTCATGTGATCCACTCAGTAGTTTGCGTCTACTACTAGTAGTAATAGCTATTACTAGTATTCATTTATGAACAGGACTAAACAGTGTCAACTGGAAAGTGAAAGTAAATAATCAAGCTGAAAGGAAAAAGGGATAGATAATTGTAAACGAGTGTACCGTCTCGATTTTTGGGATTGTTTTCCTCACACCCATAGACTCATTGATTTGAATAATTATCGTCATAAAACCAAGCTTCCGTGGAAGACCTCGCTTTTCTCTGTTGTATTGTTAGCTAACTGAGATGCGTGTAATTGCTTGTCAAAATTCACTGGTTACGGTACACCATACTATTAAACTTAAAAGATTTATCAGCCGCTGTGGAAACTACCTGGTCACAAAACAGTTAATAATAAAAAGCTGTAAAATTGCCATAGATCGATGCTTTCGTTATAACAACCACCCCTTTAGATCTTAAGTTCATTATTGCAATGGATGTGGGTTAAGTTTACACAATGGGAGCTTGGCTAGTGATGTTTGCTACAAACTCAAACTTGTAGCCAAGTGACACCAGCTATAGTGCATATAAGTTAGGGTTAAGTAGCTGGAGTTAGACTAGTTATTTGTCAGGGTTACAAAGTGGCCTACCTACTCAACCATTTTTGCAACCTTTTTTGATTTCAGAAATTTGTATTCTCTTGAAACATATCTCCGATACTTGATCTCTATTCTTACGAATACTTTTACTACATCTACTAATCTGGGGATTGCCCTGACAATCGTCGGGCTTGGTAATTGGGGTATGACAACTTTGACTTGTGCATGTGTGCCATGTTCTACGTTGTGTGTGACTAACTGACTGGAGCTTAGTACATTTGCGTAAATCACACGAGCTTCAATCATATGGTGACATTCATGGTAGTTAGAATTTGGCTGCAGAACTTGATCACAATACGGTGGTTCTTATCACACGAACTTCCATACGTATCGTGTTTGTAGTTTACTTCGTTATACCACATGCAGTTGTATTGCTGTAAGTTCCCTATAATCGTGTGTTATATAACCTAAGCAAATTATTATTTATCCAAAAAATCATCTTGGTTCTATTTAATCTCAATCACTTGCAGATGTCATCGGATGAAATGTTCTCGTTTCCAGTTACTGTAACGTTCGCCATTTGTATATCTATGATTTAGATACTTGATGGTCCCGATGGTGAGGAAAATTTCGAGATGGCACGTGCTCGTATTTGGCAGCTAAGTTGCAAGTCTGGTTGGAATTTCGACCGACTTGTTGCTGATTTAACTCCATCTAGTCAGTGCGAGCTAACTTTTGAGATGATTCATATGGTGTCGTACGTTAAAAAAGGTTAGATTATTCTGATTTTTCCATTCCTTCAATCAGTTGCTCCGCCTGGAACGCTGAGTGTTTTTCCGTCACCATTTCAAAGTGCCGAGTCATGGATCAGGGACAGATGGATTTTTCGAGAGGTATATTTGATAGCTAACTCACTTGTGCTCAGAACAACTCAGCTAAATCTATGGAACATACTTTACCACTTAAAAAGGGATTAAGGTTAGCACATGGTTGTTTGTCATATTTTGCTTCATTCTCTAGAGATTTGGACCACATATTTACATTTTACTGTCGCAAATATCGTAGCTTATTTTGAGGGCAACTATGTATGAAAGTAGTTGCACATTCACGAAAAAAACATTTGGGATTCCAACGAAAGAGGAAGTTGTGCCAAAAATTTTATGTAGGTTGTCTGGTTCGAACCACTTATGTCACAGGACATTTCCGTATTTTGAACACTATTTTTTCTCTCTGAAGAATTTCAAATAGAAAATTTTATTTACCAGTGCCAAATCAGTTCATATTATATGGTTTTTAAAGCCTGTGACTATTTTGCATGAAATCTGACCCGTACACTGTCAAGTAGGTTATGTTGGGTGTCAGTTCATGATTTCGAGGTTCACCACAATTTAGGCTTGATATTTTCACGAAGCGAATTGTGGGTTCAAAACCGCGTTGTAACTCTGACCTTTTACAGGTAGGCTACAATCACGATGAGGGCAAAGATGGGTGAGATTGGCATCGGCCGCTCTGGCTCTCATTATGTGTGAACTGGTCACATCGGTCACGCCAACATTAGCACTTACGCACTTACCCAAATGTAAGAACTTCTTGACTACCATCTGCCCACTACCGAAAGTAAGTGCAGGTTTAGTGTCCTGCTAGTCTTGTAAAAGTACTTCGTATTCTGAATGTGCAAACTATATGTTATACCTACGGACACTAATTGCCAACTTTTTAGGTGTGGATTGCATGGCTTAGGTATCATCACATAGTAAGACAATATCATCTGCACATTCGAGGTCGAAAAGCATTTATCCGAGTGACAGATCCACATCACTATTATCTATATCCATCAGAGCTGCTTCCCAACGTCGTCGGTAGGAAAGTTGATGAGGAACAGTGGGATTAGGTAACCCTGCCTGACTCCACGGCTGGTACAGCAGATTGGAGAGAGGTGGTTGTTTCCTCTCTTTGTCTGAACCTTCAGGATGTTAATTATGTAGCGCATACACTATCAGTGTCCAGTTATATCAAATTTTTTGTTTAGCACGTAGAAAAGAAATAAGCTAATGTGAGCTACAAGAACCATTTTATTATTTAGTATATTGTTTAAATTAGACGTTTTGATCACCTATCACATGTTGTATTTGTTTGTTGTTCAGAACCGCTGATCCTGTATCTCCCTCGAACCGTGCCTTTAATAATGAAGAACTGAAGAATAAGAAAGTAATGAAAGTTGACCAGGATCCGACTATGACAGTGTCGATACCTACCGTACACAGAGCCAATCGTTCACTCCCTGGATTTCAAACTATTTTACAATGTGGGAAGACACTTGACGATGATACTTTATTGGGGAAGACTGTAAGTAATTCTCGATTTCCATGCATAATTATGAGTATGTTACATGCTTCTGCCAACTGTAAATGGTTCACTGAAAGGCATCGATTATATAACCTTTCATTGTATTCGTAATTGTGCATGTAGCAACTAGTCAAATATATTTGTAAAGGAAATAGTGTAAGGATTAATCTACGGGTCCGTCTATTTAACTACACCGCGACTTTTGTAAGAAAATGAGGTGGATTAATCTGCACTGACCATGGAAGACAGAAAAGTCTGACTGATATTGCCGGGGCACTAGATCAGCTGAATTGTTCGTCAAAGAATTCTGTCTGTCGTCCCATCGGCCACCCAAACGACTCTCTTCTGTGCCTAGACGTCCGACTTAAGCATCCAGGTCTCCGGCCGGCACTACAATATCTGTTGAAGACACTTGTTGTAGATAACTTACCTGGTAGTAGAACTCATCCTTGATTGCATCTGGTCTGCTGTTTGTCCGACCAAATTTCTACCACAGGTGACCTGCCATATGAATTGATAAATAAAGGAATATACAAATTGGGATAAAAGGGAATATACAAGTGATCAGTCAGTCAGTCAGCTACAACGTAGGACCAGGCACATATGTGCATCGGTCCAGGTTGCCATACCTCATTAGCACAACAAGATGAACACCGGATTCATAGGAGTGGTTAGGTCAAAGGTTGCAATAAGGATATAGTATAGGAAGGAAGAATTAGTTCGTAGAAAGAAAGATATGAAGTGATTTAATCTCTTAGTTTAAGGGAAGACAGGGAGTGTATACACCGACGCCATTGTGATCGATTCTGAGCCATGTCACCAAGAGTCTCCAACCATTGGTTACGATAGTCACGCGGACCCCAACCAAGTAGTCTGCATCTACCAACATGGCTCAGACTAGAAGTTAGTGACTTCAAGCACTGATGCCACGTTTTGGTTTGGCCGCCCCTAACTTTCTTACAACCAACCCCTACACCGGTTAGCATTGCACGTCGTGGTAATCGGTGTTCAGGCATACGTAATACGTGGCCCAACCATCTCAGTCGATGAAGATTCACAATCTCATCAACTGATTTACCATCATTCCCTAATACCCTGTGTCTAACCTCACTATTACTTACCCGGTGATCCCAGCAGATGCCAGCAATATTTCTAAGGCATCTGTGGTCAAATACTTGTAGCTTACGGGTGTCTTCTACTCTTAAAGGCCATGTTTCGCTGCCGTAAAGTAAGACAGAACGGACTGCAGCGCAGTATACTCGTCCTTTTATTGATAGACGGATATCTCGCCTCCGCCAAAGGTGACGTAAGTTGGCAAAAGCCAAACGAGCTTTTCGAATCCGTGCTGAGATTTCGTCAGACACCAACCCATTAGGGCTGATCAGACTTCCAAGATAAGTGAAGTTGTCGACGCGTTCGACTACTTCACTCCCTATCCTTAGTTCAGGTGTTGACGCACACCAGTCCTGAAGCAACAACTTGCATTTAGAGGGAGAGAAGCGCATCCCAAACATTCTGGCATTGTTGCTTAGTGCTACCAGAAGACTCTGCATTTTGTCAGCGTCTTCACCAAACAGGACTATATCATCTGCTTATTCTAAGTCGATAAGTGGACCTCCTGGAAGGAGATCAATACCCGAGAATTCAGTCGACGAGAGTGTTATTTCCATCAATAGGTCTATGATGAAGTTAAACAAAAATGGAGAAAGTGGACAGCCTTGACGGACACCACTTGAAGTTGCAAAAGTAGATGACAGTTCGCCATAAGCTCTGACTCGACTAGTAGTGTTCGAGTAAAGAGCCTTCACAAGGTTTATGTACTTCTGAGGTACGCCTTTCAATGACAGACACTGCCACAGAGTCTCGCGGTCTACAGAGTCAAACGCTGCTTTTAAGTCAAGAAAGACCACCATCGTCGGACGCCGATAGGTATGCCTGTGTTCTAGAACCTGACGAATGGTGAATATGTGGTCGATGCAGCCACGACCAGGTCTAAAGCCAGCTTGGTTCTCTCGAGTTTGTAGTTCACGAGTCTTAGTTAGGCGTCTGATAATTATCGAGGCCAGTATTTTAGATACTATGTTTGTTAAACTAATCCCTCTGTGGTTGTCACAGGATGATTTTGACCCTTTCTTATATATTGGGACGATGAGTGATTGCGACCAGTCAGATGGGATAAAGTCTAATTCCCAGATCTTAGCTAAAATATTAGTCAACCTAATCGCTAGAATTGGACCACCATCCTTAAAGACCTCTGGAGCCAATCAATCTGGACCAGCTGCCCTTCCTCGTTTCAGATTAACTATAGCCTTTTGAACTTCAGCAAGAGTTGGGGGACCTACTTCAATGTTCCATTCACATTGTCTGGGAATGGAGGGTAGTTGTAGAGTAGCTGAAGGCCAGCTGAACTGTTCTCTAAAATGTTCCGCCCATCGTTCTAAGCGTCTGGACTGGGAGCAGATGAGAGTATCATCTTTTTCCGAAATAATCTCACTTACACTTGACTTATTAATTCCAGTTTCTTTTATTAGTCTGTAAAGCTGTCTTGTGTTCCCTATAGTCGCCGCCTTTTCCATCTCTTTTGCTTTCGTTACCCACCACTGCTCACGGTCGTTCCTTAGACTTTTTCTTAACCTAGATCTGATTTGTTTTCGCTCTTCATCATGTTCAGAACCTGATGGGACGAGTTTGCGAGAATCCATCAGTGTGACAGACCTTGAAGAAATCCACTGGTTCCTTGCAACTCTGTGGTTTAAGTCACTAATAGATGTCACTGCTGTTTCCACAGCTGATTGTATGCCCTTCCAAGCAACATCTGGGTCAGCCTCGTCTTCACAACTACCTAAGTGTGACCTCAGTTGTTCCTGGAACCTACTTTTGGTTTTCTCGTTACTCAACTCAGTTCTAACGGGTCTTTTTAATGTGGCTTTTTTGCGTCCAGTGAGGCGCAAGCAGATGCGTGCCCGTACTAGGGCATGGTCGGAGTCCAAGCAGGTACTCCAGAATGAGCGACAATCTTCTACCGACCCTCTCCAACGATGACTGATGGCAATATGGTCTATTTGAGTCCATCGTTGGTTTGGTGTAGGGGGTCGCCATGTTAGACGATGTCTCTCCTTATGCTTAAAATTTGTATTTGCTAAAAATAAACGATTGTCTGAGCATAGCTGCAGCAGATCACCATTATCTGTTCGCTGTGTCGGAATACTAAAATATCCACCTAAATGCCTTTCTGTTTGGTTTAAGCTACCTATCTGAGCATTAAAATCACCTGCTACGAGTACTATGTCTGAGCGTTTAGCTTTCTGAAGAAGTTCAGAAAGCTTTCTGTAAAATTCATCTTTCACTTCATCTGAGCTGCAGTCAGTGGGAGCGTAGACAGAAACGACAAAAAGGCAACGACGTGTGTCCCTATCCTTCCGAGTTCTTACGTAGCCGTTCAGCCGAACAGCACATAGACGACTGTTGACGGGGATCCACTCTAGCAGTGCTTGTTCCGCCCTCATGCTTAGTGCTATGCCTACACCTGCCAGTCCACGAGAACTTGCCATCGGGTCACCAGATACACGAAGGGTGTACCTCGTTGGCTCTCCGTTTTGCCGAGGTGAGGTCAAGTGAATGACCACACTGGGATCCTGTATGCGTGTTTCAGAGACACAGCATACATCAATGGAAAGAGACTAGGGTTTTAGCCAAGGAAGCCTGGTGACCGATTTGACATAGAGTGCGTACGTTGAAAGCTCCAATGTGTAGTTTGGAGCGAGGTTTCAGTAGACCTGGGACAGAGTTTTGAGCACTAGAATCGTTGGCTATGGTGACACTTGAGGAGGAAGCCGAAGGAGGAAGTTTAGGGTTGAAAGTCGATGTAGGAGGAATAATAGGAATTGAAGAGGAAGGTTGATTATGAATACAGTGGTCTTGGGTGCTGTTAGAGGTATGAGGGCGGTTATCACTTCCCGGTTGCCCACACCGTGGAAGGGTTCTTCTGGAGGTACCTGAAAAGGAAATTGGATTAGAGGTGGTCTCAGTGACCTGAGAGCGTGACCGCAGTGCCCAAGGGACAACTGCTTGAGGCCGGTCGCGCACGGCCTTTTCGTGGAAGGTTTTCGACGTGTTAGCTCCGTTCTTCAAAGGGCCTTACCGCCGGAGACGGAAATCCGTGAGGTAAGGTGAGGTGTGCATTTTTAGGGTCGACCTTTTCTAACCCCACCCCTCCTTGTGGGAAGGCAGCATCGCTGTCATGCTGGTTGTCTGAAGGAAACACCTTACTGCTGTCACACCTCTGTACAGTCAGCAGTACGACTTCGCCTTCGGACCTTGGGTTTGTTGCTTTTAGTCTTACCGCTCTTCAACCGACCTGTCTGACATGGTAGGACCTTGAGGAACGGTTGTTCCAGTCAGTATAGCTCGGTTGCTTCATCACGATAGGCAAGCCCGACCACCACGTCAAGGTAGCAACAACGGTCGGGCCACGTGCATTCAACTACTGACAAGGAAGTCCTACTTAATGCATTCTCGCACCACAGGTGCTGTTTACGAAAAGCGAATATCCGGCAATTTAACCGGGTTGGTGCATATGGGGGGTCCACCTAGGGGAGTTGGAAAACCCTCATTCCAAACCAAAGGTGTATATGTGATCTAGTATACTGAGGGAACAAATGGAGTATGAACCTACTGTTGGTCACCAGTTACCATGGGACCGCATCTGTTTACGTTGCTTCACTTCCTTGTGGGTCAGATTTTTCAGTTAAAGGCTCGGAGTGTGGTCCCCCAAGAAAACTGCTTGCTTTGCTTTGGGCACCTGGACAGTATCATAGCCCACACATAAATCAAGTGACTTGTGTGGCGCATATGTATTTGGTGCCCTTTTGTACCACTATTTATATGATCAAATAGAAATAAAAAGAGCACAACAAAATTGTGGAGTTCAAGATGTGAGTAGATGCATACTCAGCAGCTCATGTCAACCTAATCCTTACCTTAAGCCCACTATTGCACTTACTGATGCAAACCCTGAAGAAAAACCTATCAACGAAGTTTCACAAATGTGAGAGAATACTTGTAATTACCAATCTTACTGCTGTGATACGATGTAAAATATGAAGGAATGTTACCGAATAGTTGTAAGTACAATTTATGAGGGGGAAAATAAAAGTGAGATTGATTTATTTAGTTCTAACCATCATTTGATTTATGTGTGGTCTAAAGTACTGCCTGAATGCCTAAACCAAATCAAGTGATTTTATTAGGACGATACTACCTAACCTTCAACTTAAAGGTCTGATCTACATGGCAGTGGGGTGACGTTAGGAGATGGCGTCCCATGGTAGCCGGTGACCAAAAATGGGTTCAGACTCCGTTTCTTCCTCATTTCATGAAGTTTGTTTAAAAATCCATGTGACATGTCATAAAAACTTGAATTCAACCATCTGTTGCGACCTTATACATTTGATAATGTATATTGACGATACTCGTCTATCATTCAATACAAACACGTTAAACATTGAACAGTGCAACTCCAGGTTCTGCGTTGCGTAGTTGAAATTTTTGATTCGTAATTACATCAAGTTGGCACTGATTTACTCAAATTACACTGAAACTAAAGTGTTCTAACGTTACAGAAACCTCATTCATTAAATGCGCACTCACCTTACATGACTCAAAATGTAAGTCATTATTTTGGCTTATTGTCTAGGTCATTTTTCCTCCATCCGTCTTTCAACAAGTCGACTATTTACGGCTCATGACTAAAAGACATTTGATAAAAAATGCCCTGGTACGGCCGAGAGTGGGGAGAGTCCGCTCTCCCTCTCAAAATGCTCTCATATGGCCACGCGTGTATAGCCTCTGTCAGGGAAGTCCTGCTCACTGCCTTCTCGTGGCGGGGGTGTTGTTTACGAAAAACGAATGTTCGGCTCTTTAACCGGGTTGGTGGACATGGAGAGTCCACCTAGGGGACTTGGAAAACCCTGATTCCAAACCAATGGTGCACATGAGCTCCAGTATCCTGAGGGAACAAATGGCGTTCGAACCAATTGTTGGTCACCGGTTGCCATGGGACTGCATCTCCTTACGATGTTCCACTGCCTTGTGGGTCAGACCTTTAGGCCAAAGGCTTGGGGTGTGACCCTCTAAGAAAACCAAATGCTTCGGTTTGGGCACCCGGGCAGTATCACAGTCCTCACACTTATCAAATGAGATTTGTGTGGCGCATATGTATTTGGTTCTTTTTTGTACCACTATTTATGTGTTCAAATAAATAAATATGGTATAGCATAAGGAAAGACTAGTTCTTGGTGATCTCTTTATTTCGTACACATTTCCCTTTATCATTTTGAAAAGAACAAGAACAAAGATTCTAGCAGAATAACATGAATTCATTTTATTTCGTAGGTTCTCGTTAGCTGCTTACAACCTGTGGTATTTAAAAAGATAATAATTACATAATGGGTTTAAATTGCTTACATGAGAGGGTTTATATTGAAAAAATATTCGTAAAGTATTGTAGTGAACAAGAACACGGGTGGGGACAATCGAATGTATTTAGCACAAAAATTACAGACTATCTCAATAAAATGTGAATACCATAAAGTCAATCGTCAATTTGCAAAATATCATTCCATCATATCAAACTGTACTGCTCCCGTTGCAAACACTAATCCATTGTCTCCCCTTCCATTGTACATGCGTTTTCTTACAAATTCCATTGTGCTCTCGCTCTTCCTTTCTTGATCTTCGCCATCTTCTGCTGCCGGACATTACGTTCTTTTAACGCACGTTATATACTACTTATATCAATATAAGTAGCTCACACCACAGTATGACTTAGGTGTAAATGAAATTAATAGGCTGAATATTGTAAATATATACCTAATGTGAAAGAATATTCTAGAGCAATTTAAACCCATTATTATCTTTTAAAATACCACAGGTTGTGAGCAGCTGACGAGAACCTACGAAATAAAATGAATTCATGTTATTCTGCTAGAATCTTTGTTCTTGATCTCTTTATTGTCATCTTCAGTGATGTTAGTTTCGTTCTTGTTAGCTTCGGTAACTTGACCTGACTGACTAATTATATGATGGTTATGTAGCAAAAGCATGTTCGGGCACTTTTGAAGTGTTCGAATTCTCTGTGGCTTGTACATATGTGAAATAACAAAAGGTAGTTGTTTGTTTTAATTTTTCCGTGTTAATTTTGTTTATCGAATTGACATCGGTTGTTTCTCATCTTATTTTAGGACACAGAAACGTCTTATGAATATCCTAGCTTATCGCTAATTCATACGTCGAATTCACAGCAAGAAACCTTGCATTATCCGTCTGACTCACCTCCTTATATGCTTGTCCAGAGATCAAGAGAATCACTGGAGAAGAATTATAAGTCGTCTTCAAAACAGATTTCTACTAGAGGTCCTCTTAAAATTGATAGTGGCTCCAAACGAAATAGTAGTGGACATTTTCTTATGGATAGTGAAAAAAGCCGAAACCTGGTAACAACGTTTATTATGTCAGAAACTTTATGGTGTATAAACTTCATATGCTTTATGTTTTAACAATTTGATATATGGTTGTAAAAGAGGTGATTTAATCTACAAATAATCACATTGGTTTATGTTGGCGTATTTGGATTAATTTTATTGGACAAGCTCCTCGACTCTCCATGAGGTATAAATTTTGTAGTGGCTCCGTACACGCGTACGTGAATTTATTAGTGTGGATAATAGTAGTCAGACAAGATGTTTCAAATTGGTTATAAGAGCGATTAAACACAACATTAGTACACCAGCACATAAATTTCTGAACATGTTAATTTATATGATTAGATTAATCCTATTTATGTATCACATGGTTCTAATAACATTTACCCTCTCACTACAATATACAAAGTTATCAAAATGGATGTCGTAAAATTATTTTTTTCGCTATCATTACAATAACTCGAATTACTATAGTGACTTAAGAAGAATTTAAGGATAGATATAGATATGCTAGAAGACTGCAACTAAGACAAATCAGAATTCGAAACACACCCAGTAAAACCCGTACGAGCAGCCTAGAGTCCTGATTGGTCCTGCTTCCTGCCTAACCCAGCCAGTTAAGTCCAGAACGTCAATCTCAGCCTCTGCGATATGCATCATTATATTTCAAACATACTGAGTTTATATACTAATCAAACAAACCACAACGGACCATAAAATAGAAAACAACATTTGTACAAGATTTGGCCAAAAGTGGCTGTGAATGTGGGAGGCAGTGATTAATAGAAAGGGCATAATTCAAGAATGGTAAAACATATAATATTAGTTCATAGGTTAAAATAAAGCTTATTATAAGAGGAATATGAATATGAATAGTTTAGCTGTTTAACAATTATACGTTAAAAATATACGTTTAGTATTAGTCCATAAATAGATCCCAAAAGTTACTATTCATTCTGCTTATCGTGACATAACAATAAGAAAAGTGATTTCTTAAGGTGGTGTCTATTATTATTTAAGATTTCTATGGTTTACCGTCTAATATTTCCTTTGATTTGACTAGACATTAATTCTCAAATTCTTATTCTTTCTTAGATAAACTCAGAAAACACCGATATCGGTCAGTCGAAATCAAATATGCTGAATATATTTTATGATCCATTGGGATTAGAAACAACTAATTGTGATGACAATGGTTGTCCGGTAGTTGACAGTATTAAAAAAATGTCTAATCCTTCACATAGTTTTCATCCATCTGATGGCAAACATAATCTGCTTGAATCCAAAGACAATGCTCTAAATGTTATTAGCACAAAAATGAATGTTTGTATGGATGATACGTTTTTATTGGAATTTTTAGACAGAAATTTGACTGGAACTGATTCCAAAACTAATGTCGATTTCGCCGAACGATGTGGTTTAAATTCTCCAACAGCTTTTGTCGAAGATATGATTAAAAAAGCACAGAAAACTTTAAATCATCAGTATAAATGCTAACAGTTTTTTTAATTAACTTTCCATTCCGTTTTTTCTGTATTAATCTCAACTGCATTGATATACCATAGAACAGTCCGACGTTTTACTGCGGGTGTTTTGAATTCTGATTTGTCTTAGTTGTAATCTTCTAGCATATCTATATCTATCCTTAAATTTTCCTTAAGTCACTATAGTAATTCGAGTTACGACATCCATTTTGATAACTGTATATTTTAATGAGAGGTTAAATGTTATTAAAACCATGTGATACATAAATAGGGTTAATCTAAATTATAAATTAAGATGTTAAGAAATTTATGTGCTGGTGTACTAATGTCGTGTTTAATTGCTCTTATGGCAACCTAATTTGGTTCAAACTCCAGTCTGATAACTCATAAAGATACTCGTGATATATGACCACAATGTCTTAGCTTTAAAATTTATGCGGTAAAGATACTCATCAGGAATTCGTAAAAAAGTACTTGGATGCTACTGTATTCGTTTCCGTCAATTCACTAACTGAATCGCGTTCATTTATTTTTTCTTCTATTCTATATTCTGAATTCTGAAATATCTTGTCTTGTCTGTAAATTGAATGTCATTTATGTATTCTTAGGTACGTTTTCATGTACGCTTCGCAGTGTAGTTGCGTGAACTAATTCATGTGCATATAAACCAGAGATTTACTGAAATGTAAAATCGAACTCATCTTGATCATTTTTGAGTGAACCCGGTTTACATTTAATAATGTTTCTCACTTTCCGTTTTCTACATTTTTGTTTATGTTTTACAAAATCTATTTTGAACGCTTGTGTGAACCCTTCGATAATTTTAAGAATATGTATTTTCAAGTAGTGTAGATTGTAAGTTAGTGAATTCTACTAAATGGGAAGCTGAAATTTTGAGTTAAAAACATGCGATGATTAGGCTAACTAAAGTTTATTTGATTTAAATATTAGGCACATAACAATGTAAGTTGGTTACTCATTTTGAGGAAAAGAAATTGGAGTATATTGACTCTTATGCTGAAATGAAGTTTTGTTATCGATAAATAGGTATTTCACATGAATAGTGAATCGAATCATAAAATAAAACCAAAGATGAGAATTGTGTATTCTAAAGATTTGTTTAAGAAAGTGCAAATAAATCACTCAAATGTTGTAGCATCCCAAAATATGTTTAGGGTGTCAAATATGTAATTCATAATGGTTTTACCATGCATCGCATTTTGTAACAGGATTCATTGGTGAACCAACTGGACAACCATATGCACGTGCGAATCTTCTACTATTGACCAACGCCCCGATGACTCTTTCAAGGTAGAGAAAACAAAGTTATTTCGTTAGTTTGTAGAGCTGTAAACGAAATACACAGATACTGTAAAGTTTGCTAACTGAAACTACTGTTTTCTGATAAAGATTGTGAAGGGCTAATCAGATTCAAGGTAAAGTGGGCGACTTTCAGTGCAGTTCTAGACCATCAGAATTCATTACTTTCTGAGGTTTTATAGCCGTTAGTATTATCTGACAAATAACAGTTATATGGTATTCAAGCGTAATAGTGTTCATTCTCGTTACTGAATATAATACTGAATACTTGTAATTCTTCGTTACATACTGCAACATCTGCTATGAAAACTTTAGTTTGTGTCAACAAATATTTAAAGTCATCATTTTTAGTATAACATATGTAATTTAGATCGTTATAAATTCTTACCTAAACTTTTCCAAGACATGAGGCATAGCTACTGCATTTTGTGCAAGTATTACCTCACCATGATGTCCACACATAGCCTTGAAAATGGGATAATGGAAAGAGTTGAAAAGTACATTACTAGTTATTTGGTGATAAAACAAGACATGATTATATTTAAGCTGACATTGCACTTATTATACATTACTTAAAGTATACATCACTCCGCCTTGAGCCCATCTTGGGCTACTGTTGATCCCAAGCCCGGAAAAAGAAGAGAGTTGGTCATGAGGTTAGCGGCACAATCGCGTAGAAATCTAACTCGCTAAAAAACTGCTAATCAGATAAAATAATTCAAATCATTTAAACTCTGCCCTGGGAGTTCGAAGGTCTTCATTTAGAAGAGTTATGACGCCTCATGGTGAAAGACGAGTTCCTTCTCAACTTACGAATTTGATGGCCCTTCTAACAACCAGAGCAACCACTAACTTAGGTCCATGGAATATTCGTACAATGTGGGAGACCGGAAATGAAAAGGTACAACCTGGAAGTGCTTCGAATCAGTGAAACACATTGGACGCAGGTTGGACAACAAAGACTAACTTCAGGAGCACTGCTCTTATACTCCGACCATGAAGAAGAGAATGCTCCACACAGACAAGGAGTTGCACTGATGCTATCCAAACAAGCACGAAAGGTACTTATAGGATAGGAATCTCACGGACCAATGATCATCAAAGCCTCCTTCAAGACAATGAATTTCATGCAATGCTATGCGCCTACCAACGACTACATTGAAGATGTTAAAGATCAGTTCTGCGATAGGCTGCAGTCCATCGTGGAGAAATGCACAACAAAGGACTTGGCCATTCTGATGGGAGACCGAAATGCCAAGGTTCGGACGGACAACACTGGACATGAAGACATCATCGAACAACATGAACTGGGAGAGAGGAACGAAACCCATGTGCCTTCAGTAAACTGGTCATAGGTGGCACCATATGCCCACATAAACGCATACACAAAGCCACATGACTTTCACCGAATCACACTACACAGAACCGAATCAATCATACCTGCATCGACAAAAAGTTCAGGAGAACGAATGAGGATGTGAAAACCAGGATAGGAGCTGATATAGCCTCAGATAATCACTTGCTGGTCAACAAGTCGAAACCGAAACTCCAGAAGCACTGGACAACATCAGTAATTTTTAATACGCCTTTTCTTCGGGATACAGACAAACCGAGCAAATTCAAGATAGCTCTCAGCATTGGGTTCTAGGTCTTCCACGATCTACTCGGAGGAGATGAAACTACCGTGAATGAGAACTCGATAGGGGTGAAAGAGGTAATCACATTTTACATGCCATGAGGCTCTGGGCCACAAGAAGCACTATCGCAAGCAATGGATCACTATTGATACAATGCATAAGATTTATGAAAGGAGGAACAAGAATGCAGCAATCAGTATCAGCCGAATAAGAGCAGAGAAAGCCAAGACACAGGCTGAATATACAGAGGCAGACAATCAGATGAAGAGGAGCATCAGAACCAACAGACGTAAAAATGTAGAGGATCTAGCAATGATGGCGGAAAAGGCTGCAGTAATTTTTAATATGGCCTTTCTTCGGGATACGGACAAACCGAACAAATTCAAGGTATCCCACAGCAATGGGTTCTAGGTCTTTCATGATCTCAAACAACACCATAGTCAATTATCAAGACAGTTTTGCTGTATGGGGCGGGAACCTGGGGAACTACGAATGCCATCATGCAGAAGATACAAGTGTTTATTAACAGTTGTCTAGGCAAAACGCTTCGGATCTGTTGGTCAGATATTATCAGCAACAATCTACTGTAGGAGAGAACAATCCCGTTTCAAGCGGAGAAAGAAATCAGGAAGAAGCGCTGGAAGTAGATAGGGTACACATTGAGGAAAGCAACCCAGTACGTCACGAGGCAAGCCCTCACATGGAATCCTCAAGGCCAAAAGAGAAGAGGAAACCAAGGAACACATCAGGCTGAGAAATGGAGACAGACATGAAAAGACTAAACAACAATTGGATAGAATTAGAAACGAAGGCGCAGGACCGAGTGGATAGGAGAATGCTGATAGGCAGCCTATAAGCTTGTGTGAACTGATAGTTTTCATTTTGATGATTTATTTTATTGTCTTAGTTTTAATCTTCACTACTTTTTCAGCTCCTTCAGATAATGTGAAAATATTATTTAGTAGACAGTAAATTCGAATAATAATTTTCGGTTGAATTTCAGGAATAATGACATGGGTGGTATGATGATTTTTACGAAAGTGTTGATGTATGCAACATTCACATCCAAGTTCAAAGGGAACAAAGAATGTAGGATGAGTGTTTTAGATAAAGACGATAAATACCATTGAATATAACATTGAGAAATGCACCATAGGTATTCTTATGAATAACAGCAATTCGAATCTTCGACTTACTTGTGCAAACGAGAGGAAGAACAGTCGATCAGATTCAAGTGAATCATGGTTATCTTGGCTAACATTGTTCGAGAACGTCTTCAACAAACGCTTGTATGTCTGAATAAAGAATGTTTTGTTGCGTTAATTTTACTGTGATTTAGTTTTTGAAATCGACGGTCATAATACGTAGTAGTAAAACACCATTTATAGTGAATAGGTGGTGTGTTTGTGAAACGCTTTTAGCAACGTGTTATCATAACATAGTTTCTATCATGAACGATCAAAATAAACCTATGCACATTGTGCTGTATTTCATAGTTTTCATGAATCACGAACGAGAAATCGAGTAACATAGTTGTGTACCTATTTTAACCACCGAAAGAATCATTAACCAAGCTATTGAGTTTTCTGCTCATTGAATTGATTTCACAGAGATATTCCAAGTATGTTTGTGTGTTTTGTCCAGTTAATTTTATACTGCAAATCAAAGTTGACGCTAATAAAATTTTGTACAAATACAGTTTCGATTATTGGACAGAACACTACGGACTGGTCGATTTTTGTTTTCATATCAGCAATTGTGAGATAACTGTTTGAGCTGAGTAATAGCAAAAGAATCTTTGAAAGCGAACAAAGGAGCATATAACTCAGAATGTAGTGAACGTGGGACAAGCATATCAATGTTTTCTTAAATAGTCTATTAGGCTTTTAGTTACCCAATTATCAATCATATGGTAGGGTATAGAAAGCTAGAACAACGAACGTGATATCGGACCACTTTGTGAACCCCTATGTTTACCTGACAAAAATTAACATTTATTCAGAGAAGTAACTGAGATCCTTTGGTATTTATTAAATCTGATTGCTTTCTATGTTTTGGTGGGTCTACAAAATTTTTTGTGTTGGTCTCATAAATGACACACGATTAATAGTATTCTTCATTTATCCATACCATATTTAGATTTTTGTTCATTGAAAGGAAATCATCGAACTACTCAACATACACAATAGTATTCTGAGGACTGATATCTAGTTTCAGTGGTCATAAACAAAATTACACTAATTATCTGAATGTACTTACGTGGTACGACGCTTTTAGTCCATCATTGTCAGCCAACATTTCTTCTTGAGTATCAGTCCGAAAAGCCTAAATCAATTGAACAATAAAGAGGCATGTGTTGTGTAAGATTGTGAACCTGAAATCAGAAATGCTCACAATCCTCTTTGTACACTGAAGTGTTATATGGTAACTATACAACGTGACATTCCATACGGCAGACTTTATTCTCTACAATAAGTGATAATGTCACGCAAACAGAAATACTTCCAATTTTTATGAATTAAGTGTTAGGTTAAATGACTCATGATCCTGTAGGCAAGTTTTCATGTTTAAAGAGTGTTTCATCAGTGGATGTATTAAAGTTTCGTAATCAGTGAGTCCACTTAGTGATCATCATTGAATGAATGTGTATTTCATGAAATTCGTGACAGACGATGACGATGTTGAATTGTCTTCGAAAGTCACTATTGATTAAAAGGAATTTCACTTCCGAACAAAAACATGCTAGTAACTAGTCTGAATTAATTTTCTACTCTTTTTTTCAATTTCTGTAGTATTTCGAAAAACAGTTTATTCAAAATAAATCACATAACAATTTACGAAATTATGAGTAAGTTTCGTCAAATATAGCGAAACAAAATTCTTAAAAAACAGGTCTTCAGTGTACAAGAGTGATATTCGGCTGGACAATCTAAGTTAATTTTGTTATATCCGAGCAAAAATAAAGGGATAGTAACTTTCTGGCGAGCTGTCATGTGATTTTGCGACCTCAAGTGGTGTCCGACAAGGCTGTCCACTATCTTCGTTTTTGTTCAATTTGATCACCTACTGCTAGAAATAGCGTTCTCGTTGTCTGATTTTTTTGAGATTGATCTCCTGCCAGGAGGTCCACTTATTGACTTAGAATACTCATAAGACATAGTCCTGTTTGGTGAAGATGCCGATAAAATGCAGACATCTGTTTTAATTCATGGCTTCGAAAAGCGCCCGTTAAGGGTAGGGAATACTCGTAAGTTACTAGTATTTGACCATAGATGTCTTATAAATATTGCCAGCATCTGCTGGGATCAGCTGGTAAGTAATAGTGAGGTTGGACTAGGAGTACTAGGGAATGACGGTAAATCAGTTGATGAAGTTGCGAATCTTCATCGACTGAGATGGTTGGACCACGTATTACACATGGAGACGGATAAGCAATGTGAGTATGAGTCCTACCCTCGTTGCGTATAGGTTCCTTAAGGTCGTCTATGGGTTTCGGTCGCTGCTTGAGCATAACATTCATAGCACCGTTTGATTCTTTTATGATGAACTTGACTAGTAGAACACATTAAAATAGTTTTGTTTTAACATACTTTTAACTCCACCTGTAGCTCTTCTAGAGGTACTGCCGGTCCCAAGCCCGGATGAGAGAGGAAAGTTGGGCATGGGTTAGTGACCCTATCCTGTAGACGTTAACCACTAAAAAATAATTCAAACCATTTAAACTCTGCCTCAGGAGTTAGGAGGTCTTCATTTAGAAGAGTTATGACGCCTCATGGTGAAAGACGAGTTGCTTTGGAAGTCACGAGGCTGATGCCCCCTTCTTGAAACCACAGTAACAATTTCTATAGGTACATGGAACGCCCGGACAATGTAGGAGACCGGGAAAACCAGTCAAATAGCGACGGAAATGGGGAAATACAAATTGGCAGTACTGTAACTCAACGAAACCCATTGGACCCAAGCTGGACAACAAAGGCTTAATACGGGAGAGATGCTATTATACTCCGGTCACGAAGAGGAAAATGCTCCACACACTCAGGGAGTTGCTCTAATGTTTTTGAAAGAAGCACGAAATGCACTTGTAGGATGGAAATCTCACGGATCTAGAATCATCAAAGCATCATTCAAGACAAAGAAGGAGGGGATCACAATGAATATTATCCAGGGTTGTGAACCCACCAATGATAGCAATGACGACATTAAAGACCAGTTCTACGATAGGCTGCAATCAATCATAGCGAAGTGCCTAAGAAAACACCTCACCATTTTGATGGGAGATCTAAACCCGAAAATCTAAGTGGACAACAGCGGATATGAAGATATCGTGGGACGACTTGGACTGGGAGCGAGAAACGAAAATGGGGGAAGATTTGCAAATCTGTGTGCATTCAGCAAATTGGTCATAGGCGGCACAATATTTTCACACAAACGTATACACAAAGCTACATGGATCTAACCGGTCCACACCATAGAGAACCAGATAGATCATATTTGCATCGATAAAAAGTTTCGAAGGACAATGGAAGATGTGAGAACCAGGAGAGGAGCTGACATAGCTTCAGATCCCCACCTAGTTTTGGTGGACAAACAGCACTACAAAAGTTCTATACAGCCTTCCTTCGAGATACTAAGAAACTCAATAAATTCAAGGTAACTCTCGACAACAAGTTCCAAGTCCTACAGAATCTACTGAAGGAAGGAGAAACTACCATGGAGGAAAACAAGTGCCGACGGGCTGGAAAGAAGGACACCTCATCAAGATTCCAAAGAAAGGAGATCCGAGCAAATGTGAAAATTGCAGAGGCATCATACCGCTGTCAGTACCAGAGAAAGTCTTCAACAGTGTTTCTGAACCAGACGAAAGACGCAGTAGACACGCAACTTCGAGATCAACAAGCTGGATTCCGTAAAGATCGGTCGTGCACAGACCAAATTGCGACACTACGGATCATCGTCGAACAATCAGTTGAGTGGAACTCGTCACTATACACCAAGCTCATTAATTATGAGAAGGCGTTTAACAATGTAGATAGGGGGACATTATGGAAACGTCTTCGACTCTGTGGAGTTCCTGAGAAGATTGTCAACATTGTCACGAGCTCATGCGACGGACTACAATGCGAGCAGGTGCATGGAGGACAGCTGACAGATGCATTCCAAGTAAGGACCGGAGTCAGACAAGGCTGTCTACTCTCTCCCTTCCTCTTTCTTCTGGTAATTGACTGGATTGTGAAGACCTCGACATCTGAAGGAAAACACGGCATACAATGCACAGCTCAGAACCAACTAGATGATTTGGACTTCGCAGACGACCTAGCCCTCCTATCGCATACACACGAACAAATGCAGATAAAGACAGCCAGTGTATCAACAGTGTCTGCATCAGTAGGCCTCAACATACGCAAAGGGAAACCAAGGTCCTCAAGTACAACACAGAGAACACCAATCCAATCACACTTAATAGCGAAACTCTGGAATATGTGGAATCCTTTACGTACCTGAAAGAATCATCGATCAACGAGGAATATCAGATGCAGACGTAAAGGCGAGGATTAGCAAAGCGATTCGTACAATTGAAGAACATATGGAATTCAAAAAAAGTGTCAACCAATATTAAAGTCGGAATCTTCGATACGAACGTCAAGACATTCCTACTGTACGGGGCTGATACTTGGAGGACTACTTCAACCATCACCAAGAAGGTACAATTATTTATAAATAGTTGTCTACGCAAGATACTCAATATCCGTTGGCCGGACACCATCAACAACAGCCTTCTTTGGGAGAGAACAAACCAGCTTCCAGCTGAGGAGGAAATTAAGGAAAAACGATGGAAATGGATAGGAAATGCACTACGGGAATCACCAAACTGCATCACATGACAAGTGTTAACTTGAAATCCTGAAGGGAAGTGAATAAGAGGAACACCAAAGAACACATTACGTTGGGAAATAAAAGTAGATATGAAAAGGGTAAATAACAACTAGGAATAGCTGGAAAGGATTGCCTGGGACAGTATTGGATGGAGAGTGCTGGTGGGTGGCGTAAGTTCCCTAACGAGGAGTAACAGGCGTAAGTGGGTTGATGTACTCTTACTGTTATTTGTACGGTATATGAAATCGGAAAAGAGAGCAATAACTGGTGTCACATTTAATGGTAAGTTCATTTTCCAATATTCTCAAACGTTTCAAGTAAAATACAGTTTAAATGAAGTTGGTAACATCACTTGATGATTATGGAAAATTTTTGTACTTAATAACCTATGACTATACAAAATCTCAGTAAATATTTATATGTTCATATTTATAATTTAACTAAACTTACTTTTAAATTAGTGTAATTATAGGAAACATACTGATGACTCAGACATACAGCATTCAAATGTATCAAAGTGGATGACATTAAAGCATCGTACGAAGTCCGTTTATTCCAATTATCATCATACAGTACACCTTGAGATACAACAAAACTAATAGGTTATGTTTATTGAAATTGTAATTAATTTTAACATAATTGCTAGTGTGCATGTAGAGTAGAAGAAAGAGAAAGCAGAAATCAGTGCATATTTGTTTGATAACCACCAGTTTTTACATCAATCGAAATGAAAGAGTAAAATAATGAGATTGTTGGAAACTAATACAACAGACATAAAAGGTGATGGGTGGTGGTTGGAGTGGAATCCACAATACGAATTTCTTTCTATTTGGGACTCGTTAGTTAGACGAACCTACATCCCAGCTCTGCTTATAGTGCTTATGACCTAAGACAATATCAAGCCGATCCTCACAAAATGCACAAATGCCAATAAGAAACCAATACATTGCAGTCCTAAACATCAATGAGAAGATTCAAACAATCAGTATTAAAATGAAATTAATATCAGGACAAGAGCAGTCTAATGTTGTATGCGAAAACGAGTCTGATATTCAGTGTATGCTAACAGGGTAATACTCAGTATCAATTAGTCGGTGATTTATAGAATAAAATGATTTTGTGAAGTTCGAAAGATTAAAAGTATGGAAACTAATGAAAACCAAATTATGAACCACATAATTCATCGATTTTTAATGAAAGTGCCACTATCTCAATGTACCTTCAATTGATAGTAACTGTACTCTCGTGAGACGTGGATCGATGACACAAACGAGCTTTTCAATCAGTTATTACAAGTAATCGATATGAGTGCGAACTAAGCTGACATGGATGTGGTCAAGTATTTAATAGTCAAGCTGATAAGATTTAATATTTCGTTCGAAGTACGACTAGATTAGACTAGTTGAAGCCAACCGCTGCATGGTATCACAAGCAAAATGTTTTATACATTAATGAACTAAACTGAAACTTTAAGCTGTTATTGTATTTGAATATTTAAATATTGTGACGATTGGCTAATGGATTCTTTCTATTCATATTATAGTGCATTGTCGTGAGATCGCCCTCCTTTCAGTGATGTGCTGATTTCGAGAATGTATCGATACAGGACACAGGTGGTATTTTGTGATTCCGTCATCGTAAAACGCTTAATACTGACATGTGGAGATTGTACACGATGACAAAATATTATTCAGATATTACGTGATGTTTGTCCATAAGGTTAGTTTTAACAAATGAACAACAAACTGAGATCGTCAAACTCAGGATGTTGACATTTTGTTGATATGCCAAATAAATGATTCTGATGAATACACGTTAATAATTAGTCAAATAGTAAATTTCTCTATGAATTCATGAGACAATTAAATGATATTGTGGTTTTATTAACAGTATTATACCGAAAGTAATAATTTTATACAAGTTAATTAATATTACTTTTAAGAAACTGAAAATTTAGTATACTGATTGAACAAACCTTGGATACCTATTCCGTGCATAATCTCATGACTTATAATCCAACCAAGTGCTCCAAATTTCGAAGCTAAACTACCATTTTCATAATAAAGTGGAGGTTGTAGAAATCCTGAATATACATATACGCGATTTGCACCCGCTGAATAATAAGCGGTTGCAAGAAATGCCGGTGATCCTATGAGAGATCTGTTCACAAAAAGATAAACGTTTGGATATTTCAAATGTCGTACCATTTCATTAAAATTTTCCATTTTTTACATTTCATCAGGAAATCGTTTCAAGATTACCACGGTACGAAATGTCTGGTATTTCACAAACTAGCATGGATTATATTACATGATACTTAATGAATCGGTGAATGAAGCGGTTTTATTCATACAAAAATTGGGTAGAAATTGGTATATCACTTTACAATATGAGATTATGGAATCTGAATAAAAGTAATTTTTTACAACCGCTTTATTAATATGGATTCTAATATTCAAATTAAATATCCGTGATTTCCTAAACTAATCAGTTCAACTTCTGTACTTATCGAACTAGGAAGTTTACTGTTTGAAAGATTTAGATCATTAGTGACTATTTTACATAGATTTTAGTCTGTTATTTGGGTTCACATTAATAAGTAGTGTCAAATCTCCTAACGACGAAAATATAAAGATGCTATGTGATATAATAGTAGTTGTAATAATAATAGTAATAATGGACAATTAGCATTTGTCGTTTGGGTTATAAAATGAATGAAATCTTCTTACTTCATTACCACCTTGAATAATGTAATGAAGGCACAGTTAGTTTGCTCAAGAAAAATAATTTTTATATCCTTCCGTTTTATAAGATTTTAATTAGCATATTCGTTACAAGATTTAGAGGGAAGATGTCCAAACACGAACCAAACATACACTAAATCAGTCCACGAAATCAATTTGATTTCATGGTAATGTGGGTTCTATTCAGTGGAAGGCATCAATCCATAAGATAATTTTGATTAAAGAATATTCAAATCTTTGCAGTTAAATAATAAAATTAATAATTTGTGATAACTTGTATTGTTTTTATATCAGAGATATCATGACAACTTACGGGTAATAACTGTGTAATTGAGTTTTCAAAGTGTCAATATATTTCGCTCTACGGATATAGAATTCATTTGTGTAATAATTGTCCTCTCGAATAGGGTACTAAATATTATTTGTGTGAAAAAACATTGACAGAGATCATTTAAAAGATGTTTAAAGCACGTTCTATACATTCTGTTTTCCAGTTTATTGAGTAAGTATTTCTGAATCAATGGTTTTGGGAAAATGCAGTGTCATTGAAGCAACATTTCGGATTTTCATTGTCAAACCAATCATTGTCACGTAAATTGACTTTCCTCAATTTGTAACGCCGAGTTGCCGAAATGATTTGACTAATGCGTAAAATTGTGCGAATAGTCCTCGTGTGATTATATATTTCATCACTTAATGATATACACGCAACCTTGTAGTGTGACGAGTTTGTAAATGATTTTGTACATGCATCCAAGTAGTTGAATTATGTTGAGATTGATGTGTAGTTTTTGATGACCAGCAGATTGGTCCATAAATTGACTGATATATTTGAACCTGTTAGGATTTAACCTCTGAGTTGCCGAACTGCAGAATAAAGACCAGTGAGTTGAAGTTTCTCTACCACGTAATGATTGAGGCAAACCAATGTTGTTTGGAAATGTGAAATATGGTTTTATTACACTAAGTGTTATCAATGATGAGTTCTAGGAATAACGGTGTCTTGTAAGTTTCACATGTCTCCTCGGTGATAACCGGAGTTATTTTGTGTAGAATTAGCTTATTATTATATACAATGATGTATAATATAACCAGTTTTCAATAAAATAATCATTAGTTGTATCAAATGGACATGTAAAATAATTTATTTCTCAATAGTGAAATAAGTGTAGTTAACTTACTTGGAATACTGTTGAGAGATTTTCTTTTTGTTGAGAAGCATTTTGATTGGAGTACAAGGCAAATATACCCATTTTTGAAACCTACAATTTTTCATAACAATCAGTTATCTTACTAAAACCTAAACAAACCCTGTGTTTCTGGAATTTCTTTTCTTCTTCATCAAACCACTTAATTTTTTGTATTGAGTTAGTGATAGTGAGTTTAATTTCGTTAAACATATTGATCACCTGTAATAGAGTGAAAATTAATCGAATTGAGAAAGTGTATGTCATGTTTGAAAATTATTGTTCCACAAAATAATAAGCTTGTCACATATGCATTAACGCTTTTCACCAATTCTAGGAGCAGCCTTTTAAATAATCTTGGTAGCTTTTTGTTTTGAAGGAGCTACTTGAGGCTTTTTTTCTTTTCGGCATTTTTCACCTTCTCCACTTCCTTTTGCTTTTGTTTGTTTTTCTTTAGCTGCACGTAAAAGTGGTTGTAACTTCCTTAGCTGAAAGAATTCTAGTGGTCGTACCTTTCTGTTACTCCTATTATTATTATTCTCATCATTACACTAACACACTAATCTGTGGTCGTTATTTTTCTTTATTTTATTATACGCACCTTACTTTCTTATTATCTTCCCATCCTCATTGTTCTGTGTTGCGCATACATACCTAGTTCACTCTTGTATCAATATTTATGTGCTCAAATAAAATAAAATAAAAAGAGAGATGATTTATGAGATCCGAACATGGGCGTATCTTGAGCGTGATCCTAGCAATACAGTTGTAGGTTCATAGCAGGTGATTGTATTATATCAACTGTCCTACAACCAATTTCGATTATGGTTAATTTTGGTTAGTCTCTTTTATTGAATTACTTGACAAACAATGTTATTTGAACAGTAACAATTTGCATATCTCTTTGTACCGTTATGATCCCTAGATCACATGACAGACTCTAGCTAAAGTGTTAATATCTTAAATGTCACTCGATGATTCATCCTCCTCCCCATGTATGCATGTACTCAAATCCTATTATTAGTCCTTGCTTTGCCGTGCTGTGCCCTTATTCGATTTGACCATAAATTTGCCTCTATATTTGCTCGCATAAACGTATTCGCTTCTCTGCTTCAAATTCGTTTGATCTAGTTATAGCATTGTGATCTGCGCTATCCGCTAATAAACCGTAGTTACCGCTTCTCATTGCCTTCTGATTTCAAACAACGTTGATATTTATATGATAATGGTTACGAGAGTGATTGATGAACATGCTATGCCACTACAGTATGATGGATTTTGGTTTTTCAAATTGACCATTGTTCTCTGTTCATCAAGAATATGTTTTTGATATTTAAATTGTGTACCAATATACAGTCTAGCAGAGTAGCTTAGTAAGATCATTTGGATGGATATTAGAATCTGTGTTTTATATGGATTTGGTGAGAAACATGGTATACAGGTGATAAAAACATTTTGAGTGGCTAGGTACGTTTAACTAACATCATAGATAGTTCCCTACTCTTACTAAGTTGTACTGCGTTACATTTAATCTTGGCAATGTAATGTAATGTTTACAATAATAAAGTCTCATCCCATATTGTTCAAATGATTATTGCACAGTGTAACCCCTAGATCTCAAAAGAGACCACACCAGTGATCACAATTCGTAGGGATTCTGAAGATTATTTGAAAAACAATCAGCAGGTTTGACCATTTGATGTAATTCATGTAGGAACGTATATCCGAAATCGAAAGAATAATTTCACAACTGTCGATGGACAGATTTGTAGGTGATGTCGAAAGTATGAAAGTGTTTTGGAAATTCTCATGAATTAACATCAAAGTAACCCTAATTTTCGCATCATAATGTTTGTCAGTATAAAAAGTAACCAAAGTCAATGTTATTTAACACAAATACAGTTAGGAAATATTTTGTGCTGAACGCTTATTATGTTAAGATGTTGAATATCATTTTTTGTGAGGTGTGCTCTAAATTGTGCTATTCGGAGATATTTGTTTATGTTTATGTAATTTAAGTCAAAAAGTGTAGTATTCTCTTGATTTAAATAATTTTAACCTTCGAATATGAATGGTCGACTGTTGGGTATATAGGGGTTTCTGTCAATATTCCAGTAATTTATGTAAATTTCGATTATTCTCTCAAAGAATCTCAAAACATAATTCTTAACACAAGTTACCAACATTTCAAATTTTACTACAATGATGTCTACAAATATTTCTTTTAATATAATTGATGTTTAGAATGAAAAACAAGATTTTTTCAGTAATTAAGTGGGTTTCTATCTCTGGAGACACTGATTACTTATACCAAGATGAGTAATCATGGTGTTTCATCATTTGGATAAGTAAAATGATTGAATGTTCATACATTCGCGTTCACATATTAATAACAGTAGAACGAACTTGGATGACGTCATCCATAGTGTTGAAATGGTAATCACCATATTGAGTTCCATTTATCCATTTATGGACAGTTAAACTTTGTCATGAATTACAAGCCCATCCAACATAATAATTTAAAAGAAATTTTTGAACGTATCTTGTATCCGACTTCATTTTCCATCACTCTAATATAACGGTGTTTGTTCACTGTAGTGTTTCTACTAGCCTATCATGAAATAAAACACTGTGTGTACAAATATCCATTGTCAATAATTGAACGGTTTTTCATTATGGTAAGTAAACTATACCACAAAACATCATCAATAACTGCATTCTGGTTTACAGACTAGAAAACAAACTATAATATACACCCGTTTTTCATGATCACTTGTATCATGATGGATGATGATTTCTAGAATAAACCGGAAATTCGGAATTAAAACGCAAAGCCGACTGTAACAATGTGATAAATGCTATGATTTTGTAAAACTGTCAGTTAGATGCACATTACAAACATACAATCTATAATGATCTGACGAGAAATGAGCAGCAAATTGCTTATCACTCAGGATTAATTTACTCTGAAATAGAATGCTGTTCAATATAACTCGTCTATACTTAATTGGAATAAAGTGTTTTGATTTGTATTGTCAGTCGTTCAATAAAAGCTGATAGAATTGGTGGATGGATTGAGGTTACCAGAACTGCTTTAATGGTATCTATGCAGTTCACAGACTGTATCCAGAAAAATGATATAAAGATCAATTGAGGTCGTCTACTATGTACGTTAATCGAATTTCGCAACAGATTAATCTATGATATTTTCATTTAACTCAGGTGTGTCATTCGCTCAAGATGGGTAGTTTTCGTTCGAATCCGATAATTATGTTGTAGATCCTTGGCTATATGAGGAATTCTTCAGTCAGTGAAGTAGTTGTTTCTATGAGACTATTTGCATTGTCTCATTTCATCATATAACAATTTCATATATATTGCTAGGCGTGTCTACCGTTCAAACATTGTAGATATGTGAAATATGACATGAACCAACCTCTGTTTTGTGTGTTTCGTTTACATGCGAACGGATATAATGTCTTTCAAGCGTCCATGGAAACGCATCCTTCAACCGTTTTATACATTGCTCATCAAAATGTGGCTGTGAAGCTATTTTAAATAAAGTGAAATAATGTTTTGTTGTGAGAGGATCAAATGAATTTATAAAAGGACGGAACGGAATCAGTGAGTGTGTCAACAAATACAAAGTTGATCTTGATATTCCCCATGAAACAAATGACACTATCGTTCAAATCAGTGTTTACAGATCTAGTGTTCATGACTACTTGTATACTCAATCATCGTATACTTGCTTCAACACTAATTGCAGAAAGAATATATTCAAAATAATGTTTAATCAATAATCTGTTTACGTCCACTACATTGCTTTGAATATCAGGACGTGCTTCAAAGTATACTTTAGATAATTACTATTTCAAGTCATTTCACTTCTAACAATATGACTGAAAATGACAGTGATGAATAAATGTACATTAGTTCAGGGATGATGTATTACGTTGATGGGATTTGCAGAGTATACTGGATTTGTTCATCTATGAATATGTCTACTGTTGAATTATGCAGGAAGAATACAATAGGAAGTTTTGTTTTGACTAGTAACTATTTCCTTGTTTATTTATGTGGTTTCTATTGATGAATAACATTTTTATACTGGTTATTAGTATATTTATTGATGCTAGCAGTCAGTGATTATCAGGTGTTTGACGTTAAGTTTATTCATGTGCTCAATAATTTCGACATCACTGGTGACCTTAGATCATATAAATTAAGAATATCATACTTGTTAAGTGTATAAATTTGCAACACATGAACAGTGGTCAGAGCGTTTCTAGTAATGAAGACCATCGACATACAAAGTTTGTTCGCTACCGATCAACCTATCTCCTTGTTGTTACTCTGACAACGGTTATAAACTGATATACTGTACCTTTTAATCACAGTGGATAAGAAATTAAGCTCAGCATTTTCATTTTCAAAGCATTGTGAAGGTCGTTATAACTTGTGAAAAGATGTTTGTTCCCTAAGGGTACACATTTTTCTCCGTACATTATTCTTGAAGAACTAAAACATGAATAAGTGCGTTAGTAGTTTAGTCGTTTAGCATCAGAGCGGAAAAGCAGTTTTTAATTGAATCCGCACCAAACTCCACTTTATTATACATTTACCTGTTCAGAAGTATAATTATGTATTATAGTAATGATGAATAAATACATTATCAAACGAAAATTACTGGCCACTAGTATATATTTTAGGGTCGATAAGTGATATTGAATGTCGTTATTCCAGTCGTTCTTATAAACAGTTCAATGCAATAAAATCGTTGAATTACATACAGAAACGTGGTTAGAAATTTAATGTCACGTGGATAACCGCTTCATAGTCTCATCATTGACTTTAAGATGGATATTTCACAGTAACGAGTAATTAAATCAGTATATTATTGCCAAGTGATATTCTCGATTTAACAGTTTGGAAATGAATATATGTCTTATCAATTAATGTCAGTCATCAAGATTGTCTATTACGAATAATCACTTCATGATTTCTTTGCCGAAAATTTCACTTAAATCCAATTCCCATCTAGTTTCTTCAAAACGGGATGCAATATAATGAAAACGGGTAAAACTATATCTGAATTGATATATCCGTGTGTAGTGAAAAAATTTCATGACCTAAATATTCCATACGTTTTAGTTATTAACTACAAATTAAGTAATTCTATTGTATAATTTCAGTACTAAGTAAATAAATACATTTCTGAATATATAACTAACATGAATTGAAGTTATGAATCGTTCCAAATGTATGGACGTTTAGTGTATTCTTTTGTTGTTCTCTTAAAAAGTCCATAACAGCTATTGTGCGTAGAGTACTAATGAAGGGAAAAAAGTTAGGTCAATAAAGCTAAGGTATTGAGAGTAATAATGAAACAGCATCGGTAAAACAACATACTGAATTAACAAATAACACAGACAAATGGTTCTAAATTCGAATAACTGTTCTAGAGCTTTATTCTCAGCATTTGTAAATTTCTAGAACGACCTACAAGTCTGAAATACGAATTCTAAAATGTGCTTAATCTCTATTTTATCTGAATCAAATAAGTAAAACAATAAATGTTATGCATTTGTTACAAATGTTCATGAGAATAAAATGAAATTGGATTATTCAAATGATTTTAGTTCCGAGTGATCCTAAACAGATAATGTGGATTGCATAATCTGATTTGTGAAAAGTGAAAATAGCTTATTATTATCTTATAATGCTTCGTCAGTGCATAATCCAAATACAAGTTGAAGAATGTAGTTAAGATTGAAATTAGTCCATCTAGAAATTGTGAAATTTCAAAGAAGACGATCCAAGTTGACAGAACTAACGTAAACAATCTGTCCAGTTTTTTAGAAACAAACAAGTCAACACATTAGTCAATCATTTTAAACAATGATATGTTTCATATGTTTGAGAGAAAGCAATCAAAAACTATGTTTTTATTTACTTGATTAAAGTGTGAAAATCTTAACATTTTGCTCAACTACTAGATAGGAATGAAAGGTAATAATATTGATTAATAAACAGCTACTGGCAAATAAAATTGATTAAATATTTCATATGGGTGTCTTTCTGGCATAGATTGAAATCGAATGATTAGAATCTGTGTTGAACTCTGTAAATTATAACAGTCTCTTTCTTTGTGGCAAGTGTAACGATGAAATGTTTTCGTGCAGAACGTAAATAGTTTTATTATCCAAATTTAATTACTAAACTTATGTACCGCTATTAGATTCCATTTCGATCTCACCTAATTATTTTCACAGTTTTAAATCATGAATTGATCTTAGTTAGACTCCCTGTGAAAACCGGGAAACATTGAATGGCCGTTTCCTGCTAGTATGCGACTCCTCAGTAGTGCATGTCCACGAACTCGCATCCAGGAATCGAAGTCAAGCTCCTCAGCCTCACACATGTACGTTAAGTTTCTAGATTATTGAGTTAGTATCCAACGGTGTAAAGGTTTAATTTCAAGTGACGATATCGTGCGACCCTCATCTATTGCCTGTGGTGGATAACCATTGTGGATACACACAGATTGGGCATCTCATACGAGGTCAAAGGAACCGTCAAGTGCTTCTAGGTTTTCAGTGGTAGTGTTACTGAGGTAAACTCATGATTTAAAAGTGCAATTTCTACAGTCTCCACAAATCCTTTACACTAATATAATTCGTTGTTGAGAGATGCAGGTGTTTATTTTTATAAACTTATCGACTGCGAAATTCTATGTATGTTACCGACCATAAAGAAAATAAATTATGTTTTACCTTCCACCATCTTTTTTCGTCAATAAAGCACGGTATTCTGCGCAACATTGACGGAGTTCATTTCGCCGTTCTATAATGATTGGTAGTTTGTGGTAGTTTACATATCCAGTTTCTTGTAATACTTTTTCAAGTATATAACTCCAATCGATCTACACAAGTAAAATAAGTTACAATGAGCTCATAATATGGTTTCTCGAGATGAAATGGAATAATATTTTCAGTGACTTTCACGTCACATATAACAGCCTCTTTCATAGAGATGACCACCTGTGTATTACTAGGCAAAACAGTTCAGTAATCTAATAGTGATTATTGAAATTCCAAGTAAATATAGATTTCTAGAAAACTTAGCTTACAAGTATTCTATAAAATGAAGATTTCAAATGTTGACTTTCATCTGTTCACTATAAATAATGTCTCACTATTCTGTGCCAAGTAACCTACATTTTGTAGCATACGTTGATAGTTATCAACTACACTTTTTGTTAGGGACACTCAGTTAAACTGCTTCATATTTTTTAAAAAATATAGTTGGGGCAAGTCATATGATAATATTTACCTGTGGACAAATGGATTGTAGTTCGTTTTTCGTCACAAATTCTTTCAAGTGTTGTTTCTTTGAGTTCGACCTCTTTTGGAGCTTGAGCGTAAAACATAACAAGAATCAAAATGACAGTTGTATCTTAATTTCAATTGGATATCACAAAAGTGACTCTTGGATGAAGATCATTTAACATTCATGGTCTGACAATTGCACACTCCAGTTATACGATATAAGGATTTTAAGGGGCAGAGTTCACCAATTGTAACGATGAAATCTTACTGCCAATAATGATCTTGTAGTCGAGCTTACAAGAACGAAAGGAGATTTTTCGGTTGAACGGCGTTTAATAGCCATTACTAATTAGGTGAGAACTACAAGGAAAGAATGTTACCATGATATTTGTCTGAAATCTGTTTCGGTATTTCGAGTGGTTTTTCTATTATTCATTTTTATCAATCTGAAGACCTACAGAAATAGGCAATCTGCTCAAACCTCGGAGTCACATTTCCCAGTTGCTGTTAATGCAGTCGATTACCAATCTGTTTCCGTGAATCAATGATACATAATAGCTATATGACATACGCTTATGCATTTATTAACGGTTAACAACTTATTGTGATGCTAAAATCCATAGAATTCAGGTAAGTGGTTATTCGTATATTTCGTTCATTTTTTCATAAATGAGGGGAATGTACATCAAAATTTGTACGTGGAACAGATTATTATGTGCAGAGAAAATCGATCAATTTCAGTAGCGCAAAACAATATTATCTTATTTTTGACTTGGAAACATACAAATTCTTAAATAAACTCACTCTGCCTAATCGAATCATTTTTCGGAAAGCATCCGTTAGTTGTGGTTTTTGAGACTGAGGTACCCCAGTTTCAAATGCAAGCTTGTAGTAATCCTCTTCGGATTTATCCATATCAGTCTGTCAAATAAAATTTGGAACATCTTTTACTCAAACTGAAATATACATGTAAAACTGAGTGGATGAGACGTTGAAATGCACATTGATATAGGACAGAATTTATCTGTGAAATATTTATGATCGTTATTCAAGATGTACAGATATCTCCGAAATATACAAATAGTTTTGTGTTTTTCTATTGTGACTCAACATTTGTCGACTGTTCTGGTTGAGAACGACTATTCATTAGCTATTCTACAATGTATTAGATTAAGTCAGATTATTATGAGTATCGAACTTCCATATTGATGACACATATGTTCCCACCCTGGCATCTCACACTTAGCATTCGTAATACATAGGAAAGCAATGTACTACGAAAGACAGGATTTATATTTATGTGAACAAAATATTTATATTATCGTAGAGTGCGTTCACCTTGTCAATGAACTGGTAAGAGTGTACTTCATTTATGTACCTTTAAAAAATCCTGCTGAAATTTTATCATCCATTTTTTCAATTTTAACTTTATATAGAAATATTAGTAAATCTATTCAAATACCTTTTGGAATTACAAATGCGATATGACAATATGATGTCTTCTTTCGTCATTACTTACAAATATATCAATGCAGTTTGTGATTCACATTCTCATCATACTCTGTCAGCTAACGTATTCCTTAATTTTGCATAAAACTTGAGTTTTTATTAGACATATCTTTTCTCACAAAATACTGTTATGAAGATAATTGTTTGAAGTATCATCTAAGTCTTTTTTCAGGCATTAAATACTGTGTCAAAGTGTCAATCAACTTATCTACCGTAATTACATAAATGTATTAGAAATACAGGATTGGAGACGATATTGAAAGCGGATTTGTGATATAATGTAAACGCATATAAATGAAGTGTTCAAATATGGCCTGGTGAGTAGCAGTCTGTTAATACTTTACTGAATTCTCAAAAATTCGGCTGCTACCATAATTTGACAACTTTCTTTAGATGCCACGAATAAACATTATATTGAAGAGCTGATATTGTAATATCATGAAAACGTCTAAATTAAACTCAGTGACGTGATACATAGAGCGTCAGTTAATCCAAATGCATTAATTTTGATACCAAGGAATAATTTAAGTAAATACGTGGTACTAATCATTCGGCTGAATGAAACGTTTGCACGTCAATATTTAAGACTTTCCTGACATTTTATTCAAATCAATATGAGATAGAAGTCAGAAGCTTTTATTGAATTACCTATTAAATAAATAAGTTCTAGACAAATTTAAAAGTTACCTTCTGTAAATCTGTTTGAAAAGCGAACTGACCAGGTGAAATCTGATGAGAGATTAGAATTACAAAATACATTGCAGTGGTTTGTTAAACAATTAAACAAGGTACACACTGCATAAAACATGTAATAGCAATCTGAATTTTATTCAACCTGTTCTCACCAACAACATGTATGTGAAATATATTTGCTTAGTTTGATACAATTTCTTGTTTATGAGATATATTGAGAGTATGTTATTCCTATATATATTACCATTACATGGAATGACACTTGATTTACAATGATTTATTACGTGTATTCACTACTTGAAATTGTAATTTAGAAATGTAATTGCTAAGCGGATTTCAATAAAACCATTTATGTGGTTTATGTGAAAAGAAATGGTGGTAATTAAGTTCCGTAAGTGAAAAAAAAAAAACACAGTGATGTAAATTTCTTTTCGACGTTATCCTTTGCCAAAACCTTACAATGGCATCTATAGAGATTTAATAAATGAATGAGTTTGTAGAATTATATTAAGAAATTATGTCTAGGTATTCGGTGAAATCAATTATCAAAGGAAGGTTAGGTAATGATCTAGGCGTTAATGAAGATTAGGAACATAAAAGTTATTTCCAGGTCAGAAATAAGAGAGATTATTGTTAACCTGATAGACATGAAGGAAAACTTGAACCCTTCAAGGTGATGATGACAATGGAATAATAATTCTGAAAAGTTGTACGCAGGTCATTATTACTGGCTATTGATTAAAGAAGTAAAGTATAATAATAGAAAATATGCTGGAAGCGGTGAAAGACCCACGGAAGT